GTATGTGGGCCGGAGGCCTTAAATACAATAAACTCTTTGACTTGACTTGACATTCTTTGGGACAACTGATTGTTTTCGATAAAATCCCCCGACGCCCCAAGCCACCCAAATAATATCATGAAAGTTGTCCCTAATACATTTGTGTTCAGGCAACATCATGGCATTATTAATTTTTTTTTTTTTTTGTTTCGCTTTTTTTCAGGTATACATACAAGTTGACGTATATTATGTAAAAGTATTAGTTATTATTAAAATTTGCTTCCAAAACGGAAATCTGCCATCAATGTCATTGGAAAACATTTAATGGCAATATACTCGTATTCATTTAAAAAAGTGATGTTGATTTTTAGTCTATCCACAAAATGTATGACTAGAAACATAATAGAAAGTCCTGTGGTTAAAGCCATTTATTCGTCACGCCAAAGACCCGGGTTCAATTCCCCACATAGGTACAAAGTGTGAAGCCCTTTCCTGGTGTCCCCGCCGTGATGTTGCTGTAAAATTGCTAAAAGCGGCGTAAACACATACTCACTTACTCACAAGTAACATGGTCATGATCTGGGCAAATCGTGGATTCGAACTCACGACCATAGGTTTCATGCACGTAAGCTCAAGGTCATAAGGGAAAGAACTCTTTCAGTGTCTCGATATTTTGGCGTCCCCCCAAGTGACGGATGGGACACGGTATAGATGTCGGAATGCCCATAACACAACATTGTTTTGTCTTAAGTTATTAGGGGCGGTAGGGAGCCTAGTTGTTTCATCATCAGCTCGTCACGCCGAAGGCCCGCGTTCGACTCCCCACATGGGTACAATGTGTAAAGCCCAATTCTGGTGGAATATTGCTAGAAGCGATGTAAAACCCAACTCACTCACTCACTCTTAAGCTATTGCAGCCCGAGTAACATTACATATTCAGAGAGTGACATATCCTTAAGCAAATATTAGTTTTAAACGCATGAAACAGTAACTATACATTATGAAGTACAACAGGTCAAGCGAGGGAGTTAATATTTGAACACTCTACGTCAATACACGTGAAAATAGACCCAGCCATGAATCTATCTACTTAATCATCATTAAAGCCGATCAACTTCATATCGATTAATTGCCACCATTCGAAAAGCAATTATACCAATGAGAAATGAGCCCGCCACACGGAGACGTTAGCCCACCATGGTTACCTGCTTAGGGTAATTCAAATCAAGCGCAGATTACCACACATGGTTTAACGTCATTGCTTTATTGCTATGACATCATGTGATTAAATCAATGATATTCACAACAGGACCCCCCTTCTCCCCCACCCCCACCCATTCCCACCCCCAAGATGATGAGGTGCAAACATATGGTCACGCACTTAGTGTCAATAAACGTTTCCCCTTCCCGCCCCACAGCTGAGGCCTAGCATCCAGGATAAGTGGAGAATCGTGTCCAGCTTGTTGTGAGATACCAAATTGGGGACGCTTTTGTTTTCGTAACGTTTTCAATTACACAAACGCTGAAAATTCTCTTAAACCAACCTGTTCATTTTCTGTACATGAGTGTGCTGTAATGGAATTAGATTGGTTTAAGTACACACAACTGCAAAGCAAATATTGCAGCTTGGATTTATTGGGTGTCTGTAAGTGAATTAAGAAATTGTAGTTCAATCGGATCCTTCTATATTGTTATCAAGAATAACGGGTATTGTGGAGCTGTGAGTACACAGTCTCACCTCCGCAGCCTGGCTTCTTTGATGCTTAACGAGACACAAATAAATATAGCTGTAGTTTGTCAAGCCTGAACCAAACAAACCAGTGATTAATATTGTGAACAAAGATTTCCACAGTTGGAGTAAAATGATACGTTATCCGCTACATAATCAAAGCTTGCTTCCTGATTCATTATGTCTCGCCATACAACAAATATACGTTGGTGTGAGTGAGTATGGTTTTATGCCGCCTTTTGCAATATTTCAGCAATATGACCACGGGAGACACCGACAATTGGCTTCACACATTGTATCCATCGAAGCCGGGTCTTTGGCATTACGAACGGACGCTTTAAGCGCTAGACTACCCCACCATCGTTTAACTTGGTTTATGCATCATTGTCAAACAAATTGTAGCCTGAATAAATTGTAAACTATCATTTCGAAAACCCATTTAAATCTGATTGTGTTTGTTACTAAGACACTCTTCAGCATGCTACAATCAATTCTGACGTATCCAATTTCAGCCTTCATTTTTTCATAGATTTATTTGCTTAGAAATCAAACGTCTACCTGTCGTCAAATTTACCGCTTTGTTTACACACGTTGTTTTAAGTGTTTAAAGTAGTTATTTGTGAAACAATATCACTGGCAGTAGTTTATGTTCATGAAATCAGATAGGCTTTAGTTTCCAAAAAAATCGTCTCCACCTGTCAACGCAACGTTGTATATGCTCATTGAACACGTTTTACCGTGAATATAGCAGAACAATCAATCACAACGTATTGAATGACAAAACATTTATTCGACCGTATTTCAGAGTTTTTGTAACGAAACATATGCAATGCATATTCATGTCGTTTGTAAATATTGACCAGGGCCCCGTTCCTCAAAGCGATCGTAGCGCTACGACTGTCGTAAATCTATGTTAAAGTATGGGAGTTACGATCACCTTAGCGCTACGATCGCTTTGAGGAACGGGACCCAGGTTTTAAATAGGATCAAATTTACAGTGTTTTCTCTGTGCTAGGGTAGTGGCACATATACCACGAGTCTGTCTCACAGTCCCTGAACCACATTATTTCCCTTACTGCCAAGACCCCTCGGCAGTGCTAAAGCCCTAACTAAAGCAAGTCTAGATGTCCTCAGGTTCTGAATCTCTGGTCTCCCTAATTAAATGGGCTTGTTTTCAAAATGATATAAAAAGGGCTTGTTTGTTACTATAAAAATGATATTGCTTTCAATATCAAGAGCAGCAGAGACAGAGACTATTTACCATTAGTTTTCAAGGCTGCTTTAGAATTGAAGCTAACTACTAAACGCTTGATAGACGTATTAAAAAAATAAGTTATGCACTCTTTTCTTGATAGACGTGTTTAGAATGCAAACTATAAAAATATTTAAATTGATGCAAACTATGCTTTATCAGCCCTGTAGTCGTGTTTAGAATGCAAGCTATGCATTATTAGCTTGATAGACGTGTTTAGAATGCAAACAGTGCATTTTTAGCTTGATAGACGTGTTTAGAATGCAAACTATAAATATATATATATTAATGCAAACTATGCTTTATCAGCTCAGTAGGCGTGTTTAGAAAGCAAGCTATGCATGCTATGCATTATAAGCTTGATAGATGTGTTTAGAATGCAAACTATGAAAATATATAATTGATGCAAACTATGCTTTCTTAGCTTGGTGAACGTGTTTAGAATGCACATTATGCATTATTAGCTTGATAGACGTGTTTAGAATGCAAACCATAAGAATATAAAATTAATGCAAACTATGCTTTCTTAGCTTGGTGGACGTGTTTAGAATGCAAGTTATGCATTATTAACTTGACAGACGTGTTTAGAATGCAAACTATATATTATATATTACTTGTCTCTAGTGTGGCAGTGTGACCTACCTTACAGTACTAATCTGAAGCGTGACAATGTCACTTACCTTTAATTACTTATGTTTGACTTGATAGCGTGTCTTACCTCACAGTACTTGTCTGTAGCGGGATCTACGTGCTTACAGTGCTAATTTGTAGCGTGACAATGTGACTCATTTCACAGTACTTATCTGTAGCGGGCCGACTTGATTGCAATACTTGGCAGTAGCGAGACGGATTTCCTAATAGTAACTATCTGGAGTGGGACAGTGGGACTCACCTTACTTGTACTTGTCTGTAGAGTGACGACACACCTTACAGTACTTGTCTGTAGAGTGACACACCTTACAGTACTTCTTTGTAGAGCGACTCCCCTTACAGTACTTGTCTGTAGAGTGACGACTCAACTTATGGTACTTGTCTGTAGAGTGACACACCTTATAGTAATTCTGTGTAGAGTGACGACTCAACTTACAGTACTTGTCTGTAGAGTCTCACCTTACAGTAGTGTACACACCTTACAGTACTTGTCTGTAGAGTGACTCACCTTACAGTACTTGTCTGTAGAGTGACTCACCTTACAGTACTTGTCTGTAGAGTGACTCACTTTACAGTACTTCTCTGTAGAGTGACGACTCAACTTACAGTACTTGTCTGTTGAGTGACTCACCTTACAGTACTTGTCTGTAGAGTGACGACTCACCTCACACAGGACCCGTCTGTAAATTGACTCACCTCACAGTCATTGTCCGTAGAGGAGTGAGAGAGTGACTCACCATACAGTACTTGTCTGTAGAGTGACAAACCTTACAGTAATTTTCTGTAGAGTGACACACCTTACAGTAATTCTCTGTAGAGTGACGACACACCTTACAGTAATTCTCTGTAGAGTGACACACCTTCCAGTACTTCTCTGTAGAGTGACCCACCTTACAGTACTTGTCTGTAGAGTGACACACCTTACAGTACTTGTCTGTAGAATGACGACTCACCTCACACAGGACCTGTCTGTAAAGTGACTCACCATACAGTACTTGTCTGTAGAGTGACTCACATTACAGTACTTGTCTGTAGAGTGACTCACCTTACAGTACTTACCTGTAGTGAAGTCACCTTACAGTACTTGTCTGTAGAGTGACTTGTCTGTACAGTACTTGTCTGTAGAGTGACAGTATTTCTTTGTAGAGTGACTCCACCTTACAGTACTGTATGTCTGTAGAGTGACTCACCTTACAGTATTTGTCTATAAAGTGACGACTCACCTCATACAGGGCCGGTCTGTAAAGTGACTCACCTTACAGTACTTGTCTGTTGAGTGAGAGCGTGACTCACCTACAATACTTGCTGTGTAGTGACGACTCACCTTACAGTACTTGTCTGTAGAGTGACTACTCACCTCACACAGGACCTGTCTGTAAAGTGACTCACCTTACAGTACTTGTCTGTAGAGTGACAATGCCTGAGGGGTACTGCACTAAGGTTACTCTGGCAGGGCGTAAAGGGATCCCAGTAGTTATTAGCATCCTTTGTGTTCTCGGAACAGTCATAGCAGGTCAGACTGTTGATGGACTGATAGGTGGGAGGAACGGTCGCTCCGTCACCTGAAACAAGTTGCAATTGATATTGTAATGAGTAAGCGAGTGAGTTTAGTTGTACGCCACACTCAGCAATATTCCAGCTATATGGCGGCGGTCTGTAAATAATCGAGTCTGGACCAGACAATCCAGTGATCAACAGAATGAGCATCGATCTACGCAATGGGGATACGATGACATGTGTCAACCAAGTCAGCGAACCTTACCACCCAATCCCGTTCGTCGCCTCCTGTGACAAGCATGGGTTGCTGAAGACCAATTCTAACCCAGATCTTTACGCTTATATAGTGATTCACAAACACATGGTTTTGATACAGTCGGAATCGTATATACAATGGGTATTTTTATTATCGAAACTTCTTTTATTTGCTTCATATCTATGGTATTTTTTATATGTTGGGATATATATTGATATGTGAAACTAAATATTTACAATATCAATTGGACCCATGAAGACCCGGGTTAGAATTCATCTTCATCAACCCATGCTTGTCACCAAAGGCGACTAACGGGATCGGGATTGCGTTGAACAACAAACCAACCAACAATATGAATTTTTTTCAAATAGTTATGACACCAGGTGTTCGAGCCATTTCAATACAAGTTACCTACACTGGCGGTACTGATAGTGTATATATAGTGTGATATTTTGTTGAGTGTCAAATGCATCTGCACAACGGTTTTATTCAGCTGTGGAAGGAAAACTAGTGATGAGAATGATGGGAATAAAAGACACCGGGTGTTGGCGAAAAGGGTAATCCCGAACTATGCTTATGATACCACGTGTTTCTCAGTGCAAAATTTCCCGTTATAATGCAAACCTGGTTTATACAATAACACGTTTATCTCAATTGATTTCCAAAATTCCCCTGTTTCAATGTCTTTCTGGTTATACAATGCCACGTTTGTGTCAACAGATTCCCCCAGTACACTGTTTCGCGGTTGCAATGCCATGTTTTTCTAAGTGCAAAATGCCATCCTGGTTATATAATACCTTATCTATCTCAAAACGGAGTTCTGTAGACTGGTACAAGATTCCCTTTTTATAATGCACTCTGGCAATGCAATACCACGTTTTCTTTATTACAAGCTTCCCTGGTTATAATGCCACACCGGTTATACCATACCACGTTTATCTCACAACTGATTTTTGCAGTACAAAATTTCCTGGTTATAATGCCACACCGGTTATCCAATACCACGTTTATCTCACAACTGATTTTCACACCGGTTCCGCAAAATGTTCCGGTTATAATGCCACACCGGTTATCCAATACCACGTTTATCTCACAATGGATTTCTGTAGTACAAACTGTCCTGGTTATAATGCCACACCGGTTATCCAATACCACGTTTATCTCAAAACGGAGTTCTGCAGTACAAACTTCCCTGGTTATAATGCCACACCGGTTATCCAATGCCACGGTTATCTCAAAACGGAGTTCTGCAGTACAAGCTTCCCTGGTTATAATGCCACACCGGTTATCCAATACCACGTTTATCTCAAAACGGAGTTCTGCAGTACAAAATTCCCTGGTTATAATGCCACACCGGTTATACAAACACATTGAACATTTATGGACCGCTCGATAGAAATCTCATCTGCAAGGTTCTTTACCTGTATTGTGTAGTATTTCACACTTAATACGTAACTGAAACAACAATAATAGGTGATTTGCGATTGGATGTGAAATGGATATAACCACATTTGAATTATTGATTTTAATCATAGGGGAAATTGACTGCTTGTGTTTCTTTGTTATGTGGTATCTGCAGGATTGGATGACTAGGCGTTCAACTATTACTGTTGTAATTATGGTATTTGATTGATGGAGTTAAATAGGCATCCACAAAATCATTGCATATCGATTATGGGTCCGAATAATGCAAATATTGCAGTGTCTTTTTTGTAGGCCTCCATTGGAGGCAATGATGTTATCCGTGAAGATGTTTACACAACTTCATACGAATACACATACGCTAAAATTTCTCAAAAGGATAGATGAATATATTTTGCCAAGACGTTTATGTAAAAATGTCTTTTGATGTCATTACTCTTCACAATGACCTCATGTTAAGACACATTATGAATACATATCTTCCTGAACATAAGAGAAAGAACTAAATTTTCATCTTCTGCAACATCCACTCTCTTTGACTGCTATTTGCTATCTTCAGTGTTTCTGTTTGACTATTGCTATTTGCTATCTTCAAAAGTGTTTTTCGTGTACCTGTTCTGGTGGTTGGACGTTAAGCTCTATTTGATATTGCTAGCTGGACGTCAAGTTTGACATGAACAAAACTTGTTGTCGCTTTCTGGATGGACTTCCTTGTCGTGTACCTGTATGGCTGAAATGCTACTACTTTGTCGTTTGGTTGGACGTCAAGTTATTTATTGGTTACAGCGTATTGCGGTTACTTCTTGTCCTCAAGGCATGGCATTAACTACTTCTTGTCGTTTGTTACAATGGCTGTAATCTTGTCGCTTGACATCAGGTATATCTGAAATGTTACTAATTCTTGTCGTTTGACACCAATGTATATCTGAAATGTTACTACTCCTTGTCGTTTTGTTACTGCTTCTTGTCGTTTGACACCAGTGTATGGCTGTAATGTTACTGCTTCTTGTGTATAGTGTATGGCTGAAATGTTACTACTTCTTGTCGTTTGACACATATGGCTGTAATGTTATATCTGACCAGTGTATTGTAAATGTTAACTTCGTCATTTGTTACACGTATGGCAGCGTATGGCTGTAATGCGTTTGACACTGGCTGTAATGTTATTACTTCTTGTCGTTTGACACCAGTGTATGGCTGTAATGTTACTGCTTCAAGGTATGGTTGTCATGGTGCTACAGTTTTCTAGTTGGGTGTCAAGGCATCTCTGTGATGAACGTACATGTAAGTTAGTATTGTTCTTCTACTGAAATACTGACCTTTATGACAGGACGTTAGATATTGCCGGGGTTGTTTGCAATTTGGCTTTTTTGTGGTATCATTTGCATGGGTGAAGTATTTTATATTGGTTTGGCTTCAATGTACTAATATATTAATGGCCCGGTGTAAAGGTTTGCCTACACCATTGCAATCTTTGGATGTTCAGAAATGAAGGGATGGTTGTTTTCTTGCTTTTCATTCGTGTTCAGAAATTTTCGAATTTTGTATACATGGTATACATTGAACGTTAAATTGATTTTTAGGGGCGTATGAATTAGGCTAAATAGTCTATTTATCTGATCAAAATTTTATTTGGAATACTATTTGGCAGAAATCATTTGCAACACAATAACAGTATCCCTGCACATATAGTAATATACATATAGGTACACCTTTCGTGATCATATTTCATTATGTAACTTTGAAATGATTTTATTCTATTTTATTACATTACAGTATTACATATACACACGTACATTTTGTGCAAATGTGAGAAATTATTAAATGCCACAATACACTGAATGACGTAAGTTTCAAGACATGAACATTGAATAATGGTACGTTTAGAGGTTGTAGAGACATTTAAGATTTACGCTTAATGATAAATATGCATTATTTTCGACATGGTCACAATGTGACACAGTGAAAGACAGAGTTGTCGGTCCTGATATTCTTCTTCCTATTTCATAATTTGCTAACATGCTTACTGTTTTCACAAAGGCCATAACTGATAACCGATTTTTAGCGGTCGATTCATGTGCCTTTTAGAACTATTTTGCCCTTTGCACAAAATGGAACCCATTTCTGAGGATAGTCAGAACTGGCTATTCGTTTGTTTTATATTAACTACCTTGAAATTTAAGCATATACATATAATAGATGGAATTAACAATGGCACCATTAACATTCATGATATTACATTCGTCTGTAAAGAGACATCTGGTCGTTTCAAATATCTAATATGATTTCATCACACATCCTCAGTATATTCCTTGATTCAGAATGTAACCATTTAAGCATATGTTCGTGGGAATTTCGTGATCACTAAAATCTTTCTTCATCTACCGTTAACTGAAGCACAAATGTTTGATTTCATGCTGTCTTTTCTTATTTTCAATCTAAAGTATAAGCTCGACAGTCTATCTGCTTCTTCAAACATATAGACTAATATGTGTCTATCTACCTATTTAAGACGATCTCTCTACCTGTCTCTGTCAAAACGTCTGTCGTCTTGTCTATCTATCTACCAGTGTATGAAATAAGCCAAAAACCCAGCCAGACACCTGGGCTGGTAACTTCAAAAACTTACCAGCCCAGAAGCGATTTAACCGATCCTTCTTAAAGGAATATATTTTTTTCACCCGTCCATCGGGCCTTATTTCATACACTGTATCTTCCCGTCTCTGTCAAAACATCTGTCCAGTCTGTCGTCTTGTCTGTCTATCTACCCGTCTGCTAGTCTCTGCTTGTCTGTCTATCTACTCGTCTGTCAGTCTCTGCTTGTCTATCTACCCGTCTGTCAGTCTCTGCTTGTCTGTCTATCTACTCGTCTGTCAGTCTCTGCTTGTCTGTCTATCTACCCGTTTGCCAGTCTCTGTTTGTCTGTCTATCTACCCGTCTGTCAGTCTCTGCTTGTCTGTCTATCTACCCGTCTGTCAGTCTCTGCTTGTCTGTCTATCTACCCGTTTGTCAGCCTCTGTTTGTCTGTCTATCTACCCGTTTGTCAGTCTCTGCTTGCCTGTCTATCTTCTCGCCTGTCAGTCTCTGCTTGTCTGTCTATCTACTCGTTTGTCAGTCTCTGTTTGTCTGTCTATCTACCGTCTGTCAGTCTCTGCTTGTCTGTCTATCTACCCGTCTGTCAGTCTCTGCTTGTCTGTCTATCTACTCGTCTGCTAGTCTCTGCTTGTCTGTCTATCTACCCGTTTGTCAGTCTCTGTTTGTCTGTCTATCTACCCGTCTGTCAGTCTCTGTTTGTCTGTCTATCTACACACATATATGACATACCTGTAAGGAATCCTACAGCAATGATGACACCAGCGAACCAGGCCTTCAGTTGTGACAGGTGCAGTAATTCCATGTCGTTAGTCCTTTATAGACAAAGGTGAGGAAGCATCCGCGATAAAACCATTCCCAGAAGCATGTGTCAATCTGTCCCCATAGCACCTTCCACAGCCACGTGTAACGTGTTTAGTAAGATGAATGTAAGAAAGCTACACGGTTGACGTGTTCAATGTTTCTTCGTCATCTTCGTCAGACTGTGTTTAGGTGTGTTTACGTCGATGCCCCATTGCTGTGATTCCCGTGAGAGGTGACGTCACAATCACTGCCCCGGTTTTATACGTTCTCTGCGCGTCTACTATGCTCGGTGATTCTATGATTAATTCACGAGACAAAGTCCAGTACATGAGATGCCTTCAAGCGGAAAGCTCATCTGTGAACACAGACATCAAGTCCTGATCATTTGCGATGAGGTTTAGAATGGAACCCTCCTGTGGTTCATCATCCGGAAAATATCGGCATCTCCCATCCCATTTGGTTTGTCACGGGAGAATAGATGCCAACATTCTAATTAACACGGTCTCACTGAAAGGCACCAGCTCACTTCATCTTAGTATTGCCAACACATTTAACGGATACCAATATGTAGTTTTACAGCTTGGGAGTCGATTGCTCTCTACGTCATTGGGGAACAATCCATACCCGAGACTGAAAATAGTCACACGGAGAGACAACAATTTGAAGTCTCGATGTTCCAGAAACGTTTCAGATCGGTAGTCCTTCACTGATCTTATGCATGGGAATGTGTGACCATTGTGTTGCGTTTGGTTGTTTTATTCAGCTGATTAGAAATTGTTCTGGGGATATTTTCGCTGGTGATTGATAATGTGATTCTACCGCTGTGTATTCATTGCCCTGGCGACGGGTCTGTGGCAAGTCTTTCAATTACCGCCTTGCAATGAATCTCATTTGCATAATGGATCTTAACTGTTTGACGGAAGGACTTCCGGTTTATAGGGTACACAAAAAATCCAGTATGGCAATCGCTGTCTTGCTTGGCTCGGTACGAACCGTCATGGTGGGGGCTTTTGGGAACGTATACATGTCGATTCCTTGAGAAGGTTGAAGTGTTTGTCGTCAATTGATAGGACATAATCCGATATGTTTCTGACAAATGGTATTGACAATATCGACACGGAGCGGTGACGGGACATAAATTCTATATTTGTAAGGAATCGAGTGTCCCAGAAAATGCAATGTTTCCAGTAGTTTGGCTCAAGCATAATACAGCTTCGTCTTAAAAGTCTGTACAGCAGTAGACACGCAATATTTAACGAATTGACTTTTGTAAAAACAAATATATATTGATTGATTTCATGATGGTATTCCATCAGCTTAAATCAAGGCAGAAACGTGTGGTGTTACAACTGCTGTGTAAGTAATTGCCTGTTGTAGGTCTTAAAAGTCCATGCTTATGATCCCTGATCCAATAGCACATTTCTAAGAATCATTGATGTCCTATAAACGCGATTTAAGAATAAAAGAAAGGTTGTGGACAAGGTTACACCAACGTTAAACCCAACCTGTTTACTCACTCACTCAACGTTCGAAACAAAGATTGACAAAATAATACTAACATTCCATCATATTTAAATGACTATAGGTTCACGTCGCCTGTAATACGTCAATCGACAGGGAATGGAAATGAATACAGGATAAGCAATGTCCTTTTATTGTCAAGCATTTCGCTCTTCCGATGACAATGTATACGTCTAGTGCACCACTAATGCAAAATGATGACCAATCAATTTAGATATGCAAACATAAATGATGCAAACCGAAGTTGCCAGACATTTTTATATCAAGCGAAACAATTTGACACATTTGTACTGCAGGGTAGCACTCGTACCCAGTACAGTAAACATTGCAACCATGTTTGGTTGGTGTATCGTGTATCGCACGGAATCGATAACCGTAACATCAGGCCCAGACGTCCCGCGATACATCCGCGTCACCGCCAGGCACACCTAGCTTGGTGCGGACAACGTCAAGGTTCAGAGGACAAGGCTGAGGCAGTAAAAACTACACTATCTACTATCAAGTCCACGTTTATCTGGAAAACTTTGGTGGACGTGCAGACGTCTTGGACAACGTTCCAGCGACAGTAGCGCTGCTTAACGTCGTAAGTTTGGGCTGGAGGTGTAAATGTGTGGGCCGGCATCCCAATTGATGGAGAACTCAATATCGTTAATGGCAGTTTGAATGGCGTACACAAACGGTGCGACATCATGCTACAAATGCACGGATGTAACGTCACCTTGCAGCAAGATAACGCAACATGTTAAGTATTTTGCTTTACTGTTTCGTAGACCTCTCACCCTTAGAACATGTCTGGGATGAGATGGGTGGACGTCTACAACAGGATTAGAACCATTCAGTAACCCAAGCTCAGTTAGGCTTTTGACTGACTTTTCGAACAACACTGCAGGCACTTTTCAATTATCTGGCGTCTTCGCTGCCGCTGTTGCAGCTTCGCCTTCATCAACGCAAACGATGGCCACACTCGATATTGATATTGATATTGTTTATTGTGCTATTGCACCAATCCTCTTCTCGGGTGTGTCTTTCCTTCTAGGATGTGTTTCCTGTTACCAGGTATGGGTTTTCTCATTGAATTTGTTATGATAAAATATTGATAAGGCGGTTAACCAAACATTATATTGTTAGTTTCGATAACATAACATTTACACAATTATATCAAGCACAGTTACGTTTTTTCGCTAGTATATATTTAATTACCTTATCGATTTCGGGTTTTAACATTCCAATGTGAGAATGTAGCTGAGTAAAACAAACTACATGTGTTTCTTTACAGTATAAACACAAGATAGGATTTAACAAAACCCTTAACAATAGGTATTTCCACAGGTGTATACAATAATTGTAACTAACTTCAAGTCTGCAGGAAAGAAGCAAACATTTAAACCGGAGCTGTAAACATGTTGTTTGTTTGATATGAAATTATCCTGCATTATGTTCTTTCCAAGATCGTGAAGTGAAGGAAAGTTTCTGCGTAAAAATAAAAATCTGACGCAAAAATTTTAAACGTTATCAAAAGCCTTAGGCTTTAAACACTGTCAACTCAATGCCCCCCTCCCCCCAATAAACAAACAAACAAACAAACAAACAAAACAACCCCCTAAACATAAGAAACAAAACAAAAAATCCAAAGCAACACCACTAAAAAAACTCTACCTAAAACACACATACACACACAAACAAAAAAAACATAGAAAGAAGAAAAAAGAAAAAGAAATATAAAAATAAATTAAAATAAGAAACCCCAACAATACAAACGAAACAAAACACGAAACAATTAAAAACCCTTTCAGCTAGGCATCTATTAATATACCATTTCTTGTTCGTTCATTTTAAGCCACCTCAATTCAAACGTTGTTGTAAACTTCCTTTTGCCCATTCAGTCTAAAAAAGATATTATAAGCCAGTACTGGCACGGTAATTTCCACTTGCGTGCAAAAACCCAACCTCGGATATATAACCGTAATATAATTATTGTTTTTATTCCATTACCCAGTGCAGTTGATATTTAATATGCTTGTGATAAATTATGAGGGCTAACTAAAGTGTGTCCCAAGTGTTTGCGCCCTCCTCTCTACCAGGTAGCTAGCATGCCAACGCTGTAAGTGGAAATCAATTCTAAATGCCATTGTGTCGTTGGGGGGATCCTGTCAATATGGCTTGAATAAAGTTGGCGGCATATTTCGCTGTTAAATGAATCTATCGATAATTACTATTGATTCCCGTGGTCAATACAATCTCCCTAACTGCTGCCCAGCGACCGTTAATAAAGCTTCATCAACGTCTGTCCAGAAAGGATTTTCTTTATTATTCCCTGTCAGGAGAACCTCATTGTGTTGATGTCTCCTGTGGTGTTGTTGGAGAGATACCTTTTGCGGTTAGAAAACAAGGTGTTCATACAATGATTGTATTTAGCATTAGTATAGCTATGTGACGGCGCATGGCTGCGTTTAATAGGGCAATGGGGCACGTCCATGTATTGAGTCTCGTCGTCTGGGTGTGATGGGACACTACGCCGGCAAGGTATCCTTCACATGCTCAGGAGACCCGTGAAGATCCGGGTGAGAATTGGTCTTCAGCAACCCATGCTGGTCGTAAGAGGCGACTGAAAGGATCGGGTGGTCAGGCTCGCTGACTTGGTTGACACATGTCATCGTATCCCGATTGCGTAGATCGATGCTCATGCTGTTGATCACTGGATTGGTTTGTGTTTAACGTTGCGTCCATCAACATCCTAATTATATCGACCGCCTCCGTGGTGTAGTGGTTAGAGCGTCCGCCCGGAGAGCGGTAGGTCGCGGGTTCGATCCCCGACCGCGTAATACCAAAAGACGTTAAAATATGGTACTTGTTGGTCCCTGCCTGGCGCTCGGCATTAATGGGTACAATAAGTACTGGTCGGCTCGGAGTCAGTATAATGTGTCTGAGTGGGGTATTCATGCTTCACTGCGGCATGGTATCTCAGTGGGCTAGCACTATAAAACCAGCTTAAGTCTGGGCTAGTACAAGCAGCCGCACATACACATACACACGCATGCACGTCGTCATATGAGCGAAATATTCTCCAGCACGACGTAAAACCCAATTTCACCTCACCTCCTAATTATATCACGGCGGCCTGCAAATAATCGATTCTGGACTGGACATTCCAGTGACCGGTGTTATGAGCAGCTATCTTCGCAGTTGGGGTAGGTGGCGTGCATCAGCCACATCCGCTAGCCTGATCCTCTTGCGGCGAGCATGATTTGCTGAAGACTGGGGTCTCCTTTCACAAAGCACTAAGGTGATCGTAAGTCACTGTGGTAACCTTAGTGCCGTGTTAAAGAATGGGAGTTAACCTTAGTAAAGGTTGCTTCGTGAAAGAACCCCCAGCCTCATCCCGGATCGTCACGGGTCTGGAATGCGAAGTGCGGGTGTGCATGGATCGTCTGCACAGAGACCGGATGTCCCGCGCTTTGACTTCCGGTCGCGTCATACCAAAAAATATACGATAGTACCTCTTGTTACCCTACTGGAGTGTCTGAACGGGATATCCGTGTTCAAGAACAGCGTGTTGGCTACGTCAGCTTCCCTTAGGAACCTACCACCAACCTAATCACGAACTACCTGGGTAGACAAGATCGTCCAGTCGTCATGGTCACCGCGCCAGAACTCTGTTGCTTTTGTGAAAATAATTGTTAGATTTCTACGTTTGTCAGCACAATCTCTATGTTCGTCGGTTTTATTGTAGTGATAAACGTCTCAGACACGCATTACTCTCCTCTAACTTTAAGCTGATACGGTGGTGTAGTGGTTAGAGCGTCCGCCCGGAGAGCGGAAGGTCGCAGGTTCGATCCCCGGCTGCGTCATACCAAAAGACGTTAAAATATGGTACTTGTTGGTCCCTGCCTGGCTCGGCATTAATGGGTACAACAAGGACTGGTCGGCTCGGAGTCAGTATAATGTGTCTAAGTGGAGTATTCATGCTTCACTGCGGCATGGTATCTCAGTGAGCTAGCACTATAAATCCAGTTTAAGTCTGGGCTAGTACAAGCAGACACACATACATACACATGCACGTCGTACGAGAATACCCCCATTTCACCTCACCTCACCTTTAGCTGATACGACCTGATTTAAGTAGTAGTGTTCAAAACTGCGTTAAATAGCATTCACTCCTCTCAATCACTACGAACTACCTGAACGAACAAACGTATCGAGCATTCTGAGAGCAGTATCGATAATGAAGAGGATTTTACGTTTCCTTCGCTCACATTTACAAATTACATATTCTATATACTTCACGATAAGAAAAGGGATGGCAAGATGAATCAGTTCATAAGGTGTTCAAGCTTAGTTAGTCCTTCCCCCAGGCATTACCAGAGAAACAAAACACACCTCTCAACAGGCAGGCTTGGGGATCTGTGACGTACGAGTTGAAGAGGCGGCTCGAATGAAACAGGACGTTATTGCAGAAAACTGAAAACAGAGATACATCTCTCTTGAAAACAGGATCTTTGATGAGTAAGTGAGTGACTGAATGATAGAGTGATAGATTGAGTGATAGTGTGATAGAGTGACAGAGTGACAGAGTGTTAGAGTGAAAGAGTGAGTGGGATAGTAAGGGAGTGTTAGAGCGGCAGAGTAGGTGTTAGTGTGAGAGATAGAGAGTGAGTGAGAGAGTGATCGATAGAGTGAGTGATAGTGGTAGAGTGCGTGATGGAGCGATAGAGTGAATGAAAGTGAGTGTTTCGCTGATGTGGGAAGAGAGCCCTAAGTAATGCTGGCCAAATATGTGGTTAACTGTCATATGACCATCTCATCCCACCAGGTACCCATTCATTGCTGGGTGAACAAAGGCAATTTTAAACAAACTCACTTTCCTAAGGGGAGGCTTCTTGTGTTTCGTTGTGGGACAAGACTAAAGTCCGGGCATCTCTCAGGAATCAGCTGCCAAACATGGTCATTCGAGGACATCTGATCCTGACAGATCTAAGAAAGGTAACTGTGTATAACGAAAAACAATCCTCATTCTTCCCACATGCACTTTACATCCTGGATTAAGAAGGGCGTTTGACGATACATAGAACACAGATAGTCATTTCCCCACGTGACTTTAGTGGTGGAATTATGTCCAAAGAGAGCCTTGTGCAAACAAAATTGGGATTTTATAGAAATTATTAACGGATTCGAACCCATCCTAGACGATACTACAATTTGTACAGTATATGTATCAGTAGACCCATGAAGATCCGGGCTAGAACTGATCTTCAGTAACCCATGCTTGTCGTAAGAGGCGACTAACGGGATCGGGTGGTCAGGCTCGCTGACTTGGTTGACACATGTCATCGCATCTCAGTTGCGTAGATTGATGCTCATGCTGTTGAACACTGGATTGTCTGGTCCAGACTCGATTATTTACAGACCATATAGCTGGAATATTGCTGAGTGCGGCGTAAAACTAAACTCACTCACTCACTCACTGTATCAGAATATTACACAAGTCAGACACAAGCACACTTGTTGGAAGGTTTAGGAAAGAGTATACTTCAAGTGAGTGAGTGAGTTTAGTTTATTGGGTTTAACTAAATAGATGCATATCACTGCGTGTCAGCTTAATGTGGGAGGACTGATTGACTGACTGAGTTTGGTTTTACGCCGTTTTTAGCAATATTCCAGCAACATCACGGCGGGGGACACCAGAAATGGGCTTCACACATTGTACCCATGGGGGGATTCGAACCCGGGTCTTCGGCGTGACGAGCCAACGCTTTAACCACTAGGCTACCCCACCGCCCAAATGTGGGAGGAAATCACGATGCATGTCGCAGACTTTTACTGCTTTAGTCAAACCCATGAGGACTAGTATGGTGCGGATAACCCTAGAAAAAGCGGCAATTCCGGATTCGAACCCACAGTCATGGTTCCGGTGTGCCCAAGGGACGCAACTCTCGCCTCAGACGACTGGGCCACCCGTGCCCCTACTTCGATTAGAACAAAATATTCTTCAGCTAGAGCATTACGGAAAAAGATCAATAGTGATACATTTTTTCACTAAGCGGCGCAAAACTAAACTCACCCACTAACTCACTACTATAGAGACCACCTCCGTGGAAGGTGTAGTGGTTAGAGCGTCCTACCAAAAGACGTTAAAATATGGTACTTGTTGGTCCCTGCCTGGCGCTCGGCATTAATGGGTACAACAAGGACTGGTCGGCTCGGAGTCAGTATAATGTGTCTGAGTGGGGTGTTCATGCTTCACTGCGGTATGGTATCTCAGTGGGCTAGCACTATAAAACCAGCTTCAGTCTGGGCTAGTACAAGCAGCTGCACATGCACATACACACACATGCACGTCGTCATATGAGCGAAATATTCTCCAGCACGACGTTAAACCCAATTTCACCTCACCTCACCTCATATATATAGACTTTCTGAATCTTGACTGTCATAAATAAAACATTGAATAAAACATGTAACCGATGAGATGTATCGTTCTGGAATACAGCTCATCTGATTCGATTGACAAGGTGACAGAGTCGGGCTACATCACATGTAACCTACAGTCTGATTCCTTCCGCTCCCTACAGACAAAGCACGTGTATGCGTGAAACAGATGGTTCTTACACATATGTATTGATAAATAAAGCTGAACTTATTTGAGTTCAAGATCTTTCGAAGCGACCGTAAAAGGTTGAAACTCCCTTTCTTTGTCCAAAAGTATATTTTTTCCAGTCATACCTGGTTCAACGTCACACTGAGTGCGTGGGTGGGTGAGTGGGTGAGTGGGTGAGTGAGTGAGTGGGTGAGTGAGTGAGTGAGTGAGTGAGTGAGTGAGTGAGTGAGTGGGTGTGTGAGTGAGTGAGTGAGTGAGTGAGTGAGTGAGTGAGTGTCTTTGCTGTTTAACGCCGCACTGTGCAATTGATGAATAGCACGTAAGCTCGTAATAAAAAATTGTCCACGATAAGAATTTGAATAGATTTCACGACTTTACCACACCTATCTGCAAATCTATAACGTTGCACTATTAAACTGGCAATTGACCTTTTTGTGTGTTATAACAAGCGCGGAAAAAATATTTATCTGAGTCAAGGATGCCGGATCAACGAATCCTTAGATAGGCACATGAAAGACAGATCTAACTCGGCACCTCAAGCAGGGGAAGGGCGCACACCGAGGATGGAGATCAAATTTCGACATAACTGGGTTAATAATGCTGCATCTCTATCGACGAGCTGATCCAGATAAAGGAGAATTAATGTCACATCAGGACTATATTCTAAATCTCAACCATACTGCGAAGGCGTCGAGGGCTGACCGTGTACTGCTTTCTAGTTCATGGTGTTTTTTCCCGTAGGTTTACAGAGACTGTCGGTTTATTAAGCGACACTTAACTATGGACCCATGAAGGTCCGGGTTAGAATTGGCCTTCCGTAACCCATGCTTGTCGTAAGAGGCGATAAACGGGATCGGGTGGTCAGGCTAGCTGACTTGGTTGGTCAGGCTCCCAATTCTGCTTGATCGATGCTCATGCTGTCATCACTGGACTGTCTGGTTCTCGATTTTGCGCTGGAAGATGCGCGTAAAACTGCTCATGCTATGGATAACCTACAGCGCTACACCTTTCTTTAAGTCTTTTAGTGAGACACATGTAGAATCATGTGAAACTGAGAGTGTATTTAAGAAGTATGTATAAAACGAAGATAATATATTTGAAAAACAAACTTTAAGGACCCTTTCATCGGATCCCGAGTCGCCAAGGGACTTAATTATAGCAAATTGCACCTGTATAGCAAATTGCACCTGATTATTGTGATACGTGTATACGTACAAACATCTGGAAGTGTTCATAAATATTCTGCTGTATTTTAACGAAAAAACAACAACAACAACAACAACAACAACAACAACACTTCTTACATGTACGATTTCATTTCTTGTATTATGGATTAGAGACCGACACACAGATATCTCATTTTAAAGAGGGACAATGCTCCAAGGTTTGGGGATTCTTTCACACCAAGGTCTTGGCGCTGTTAAGGGTGTGACAGTGTACCGTTGTGTGTCGTCAGTGATATAAAGCCCAAGCGTAGCCCCTCTTTAAGGAATTCAACAGGAACCATATCATGTGGACACAGTACTTGTTATATTTTTCAAACATGCTGGTACACTTGCTGTTTGATCAATGGATATACTACAGATGGGACTATATGCAACATCGAGCGTTAAGTCTGTTATTGACTATTTTTCAGTTACCATAACAACTACATACATGGGTGTGGGTCTTTTTAAAAAATCAGATTATAAAAAAATAAAATAATGACCTTTGTATTTCTCCAACACATTAGTCAATGTTATCGATAAAGTTGACATATGAATTTTTCAAGTATATTCTTCTGGCAGACTAGTACAAAATATTTTAAATATTAGCAGTCGCATTAATCATTTCGTTCGGCACACGCGCATGTGACTTTGTCGGAGTGATCACAGGCGAGAGCTCTGTGGTCCCAGAGAGTGCCGGGCGGACAATTCATAAAACCAAGGCAGATAACCTCCCCAAAACAGAAACGGTACTGTCCGCAGTCATCAGGGTTTGCATAATACCACCACCTGTTGTTTGCCTGGGTGGGATCTGCAACAGAAGCAAAAATGCAATTTCAATATATCTGGTGAGAGACTATATCGAGTTAGGCCCTGAAAAATGTTCATTTGTAGTCGAGTAACACATGTCAAAAGTGACTTTTCTGTCTAGCGAATAGTACAATTCGTGTGCAATAAATGTTATCTACCATGTTTTCGAAACAATTGGGTTGGATACTTAGATAATATGGTCCCAATCTTATTTCAATGTTGAATAAACTAAGCTAAAATCAAACCGATTCAATTAATACTAGTATATGCATACTCTCATTTCAGGGATCATAATGAAAGCTCTGGTAGCAGCTCTGCCGATTGACACATTCTCATTTCTTTATAGCCTCGTCAAGTGAGTGAGTGAGTTCGGTTTTACACCACTTTTAGCAATATTCCAGCAATATCACGGCGGGGGACACCAGAAATGGGCTTCATACATTGTACCCATGAGGGGAATTGAACCCGGGCCTTCGGCGTGACGAGCGAACGCTTTAACCAATAGGCTACCCCACGCCCCCGCCTCATCAAGCTATATTCCATATACAAGACTCCCTGTTTGTTTAAAACATATGTTCATGTGGTGTTCTTTAGCTTATTGTTAGTCTTTATTCAAAATAGAACCGATGACATTTAAATGAAAAATGAAATTAATACATCAATGAAAAATATATTATTATTATCAAGTGTACGAATGATAGGATAAAAGGTGTGTATGAATATTTACCTGTATAATAATCGCATTCATCATCGTCCGTGAGTTCTCCATTAGACATGGTAGTCGGAGTTGTAGTAGTAGTAGTTGTAGTAGTAGTTGTTGTTGTAGAAGTAGAGGATGGAGTTGTAGTGGTTGTTGTTGTTGTAGAAGTAGTAGATGGAGTTGTAGTGGTTGTTGTTGTTGTAGAAGTAGTAGTGGTAGTGGTCGTAGTTGTAGACGTAGTAGTTGTAAACGTAGTGGATGTAGGAGTTGTTGTTGAAGTAGACGTTGTTACCGTGGCATCTAGAAGTCTATTCTTGACGGAATTGATGAGGGTGAATCTGCCTCCTCCGCACAGATTATTGAAATCATCAAAATCTAGCGACCAGAACATGACGCCCCCATAGCCCTCGTTTATCACCAGATCTGTCTGTAGCAGTAAAAGGGGTGGGTCAGTGAACAGAAATATCTTCCTGGAGACAACAACAACAAAACCATCAACAATAACACCAACGACGACGACAACGATGATGATGTTGTTTTTGATGATGATGTGTGGTAGTGAGCTTGCATTACTCTAGTTTGCGTGTGGAGGAAATATATAAAAATTCAGAGCGGAAGAATACACACAAACATCAGAAACAAAAATCCCTTTTCGTGTAAAGGGGAGAATAGCTTCGAAAATTATATGAATGGATCATTGAAAATCAGAAAAGTAAGCATGTCCAGCTCTAACGGTAGCACCGCCATTTACAAAATATGACATATGATAATATCAAGTGATATACCAGACAATCGAGTAATTACTACTACTAGTCCGGAATATATTTTTACGACATGCCATTGGATTAATATTCACAGAGCCATGGGGTGTAATAAAATATACGTCCACGTTCAATTTAACTTTAGATACATTTTAATTTTCACGATAAAGAGAAGAAGTGGAACAAACGGAACTACACTCTGTCTAAAAAGAAACACAACCCCTGTCTTCACATATAAGGCACTCTGTAGAATAAAGGTATTGTTTGCAAAGGTAATTTGTGTGATAGGTGAGTATATCATGTACGTCTTTCATGAACGTAAGCGTTCGAACACACCAAGTAGCATGCATAGGAATCTTTATTGTCTCATTTCTTCACCATGCATGAAGTTTTCATGGTGACTACACCAAAAGCCAAATGCACGTGCAAATGATGGAAATGACAGTTAATGTTGGGGTATATAAAATCCCGTGTGAATTCGTATCTCACTCCATCATTCGTCGCCGAAATTCAAGGTCGAAAATGCCACGGTTGAGTGCTACAGACAAACATTTTGCCATTGGTCGTCTTGAAGTCGGAGAAAGTTTCGGAAGGGTTGCATGACACTTCGATGTACACAAAACAAAGATTTCCCGACTTTGGAACCGTTTCAATCAATTCAATTCGACTCATGTTCGCCAGCTCAAGATAGGTTTATCCGGCTCCATCACCTACGTAATCGGCAAGCAATACCGACTGACACTGCAACACAAGTGCCAGGTTTGAGGAGAGTGTCAGGACAAACGACAGGCCGGTCTACGAGCAAGAAGAATACTTGGTGGACCTGTACTACGCCTCCTACATCGGCGCCGACGACTCAGGTGGTGTAACAACGTTAGCATATGGACCCTGAGAAACTGTAGGCGTGTCTGGTTCAGTGACGAACCACGTTTTCTGTTGCAACGTCGTGACGGAAGACAGCGGGTCTAAGGACGACGAAATGAACGTTGGGCACCAAACTGCGTTATACAGGTGGACAGATTTGGTGGCGAGAGCGTCATGGTTTGGGGAGCCATATCATACAACCAAAGATCAGACTTGGTGATCATTCGTGGCAATCTTACAGCTCAACGCTACATCAACCAAATTTTACAGCCTCACCTCCTACGGATCATCGATGAACAAAGGAGCTTTTTCAACATGATAACGCCAGACCTCACACTGCACGTGCAACAGTGAATTTCTTACAGAATTATAACGTGAATGTGTTGCCATGGCCCTCCAGATCCCCAGACCTCAACACCATAGAGTATCTGTGGGATTTTCTTGACAGACGTGTACATCAACGTAGACTGCCGCCGCAGACGCTCGAACAACTAGCTGTTGCACTACAGGATGAGTGGAGAGCAATTCCTCAAGAAAGAATCCGACGTCTGATCCATTCTGTTCCAAGGAGGTGCCGTACAGTGATTGCAGCTCGTGGTGCCCACACGAGGTACTAAAAAAGACGCCCCCTTGTGACAAACCAGTCTCACTGAGGGAACTGTTAAGATAATTATCTTACACTTGAATTTCTAGACTATCATTGTGCCAAATGTCACTGTTCTGTCGTCTAAATTAAATGCGTTGTATCATCTTAAATTTCACGAATACAATCTTTAAATTACAGGGGTTGCGTTTCTTTTTTTAACACTAATTAGGCCTGGATTAAATTCTGGCTTCCTTTTGTTGTCTTTTCCCTTGTTAAATACCACAATTGTTACCCATCATTAATGCCTGGAACTACATTCCCTGGATTCCATTTGTCCATCCACCTTATCAAGTTAGTGCTTATTAACTGCTGGCTGCTCTTGTTACGTTATCACGGTTGTTTTACATGTAAATATAGGTGTCCGTTTGCTAGTCTTTCATTCATCTGATGGATGAGTGAGAATATACTCCGAAATGTCGTGTCCATCAAAACAAAGAAGTTGACATCCATATCTTCTTGCCTTTATATCTTTTTTTTTTGTAATGTGATTAGTTTGATTTAACTATTATTGTTTCCTGTGTTCTTTCATTCTTGTACCGGCTGCCATGTCGGCGCTGTGCAGGCATTGATTACGGCTTCAGCTGCCAGTCTCCAAGCATACAAGTCTGCTAGTTACCGCCAATCATGTATACAAGCTTCCATTTACATGTCAACCATCTATATAATTCAGACATCCAGAAATCTGTGCTTCGCAAAGGTTATTTGTTTGTGTGTGAGAACAGTTTTCAAGAAGTTCTTGTCATGTTTTTGAGCTAACCCCAAACCGATTATGTTTCAGTGGACATTGCTGGTTTTCTAAGTGACACCGATTTAAGATGACATCATTTTTGTTTTAACGTATACCTCATGAAAAGTTACTGAAAGAACAGACAGGGGCTGCCTAGGCTGATCTTTGGTGGATTCCATCCATTTAAGCATTCGGATTCACTCGGCTTATTCCGTAAGAAAATGACACATTTGGAAGCAACGGGGTGGAGATTCTAGTGGTATGCATCAACTCCTGATCCGTAGCACAAAGCTCGTACAATGCGATTTTAACAAAAGCGTTTCATCCGTGAAGATCCGGGTTAGAATTGATCTTCAGTAACCCATGCTTGTCGTAAGAGGCGACTAAAGGATCTGGGGCCCGTTTCACAAAGCTCTCGTATGCCTAAGATCTCGTAACTTACGAGAGCTTTGTGAAACGGGGCCAGGTGGTCAGGCGGTCAGGCTCGCTGACTTGGTTGACACGTGTCATCGTATCTCAATTGCGTAGATCGATACTCATGCTGTTGATCACTGGATTGTCTGGTCCAGACTCGATTATTTACAGACCGCTGGAATATCGCCGAGTGCGGTGATAAACAACAAACAAACAAACAAAAACTTTTCAAATATAAAAAACTAAAGAATAACCAGTACCGATCATCCACAGAGGGGGATCACCCGGGCCTAAAAGGATAAAATGTCGGAATGGACGAGTGAAAATCTGTGACACTGATGACATCATGTATTCGCGAAATGGACAAGGACATTCTGAGAAATGAATTATACAATTTTGTATCGGTATGACTTCATTAAAAACTGACTGTACTGTATTATATGATGTGATAGTCACGTGAACTAGAAGATCCAATATGGATTCCCTCTCATACTCGCCAAGAGGACTTTTGATACTGAGATGACCTGACAAGCGTGGGTTCAGTTTTACGCCGCTTTTAGCAATATTCCAGCACTATCACGGCGGGGAACACCAGAAATGGGCTTCACACATTGTACCCATGTGGGGAATCGAACCCGGGTCTTCGGCGTGACGAGCGAACGCTTTAACCACTAGGCTACCCCACCGCCCCTCGTAATGAACAATCAGTGTGACCAGCAGTGCTTTAATATTCACAGAGACAACGTAAGGGGCCTATTCTGTCCAGTTTCCAATATATTAAGTCGTTATTTGAGGCTGCCAATAAGTCAACAGGATCAAAGAAGAAAGATGAGGAGGCCAGGGTCATTAATCAGTGGTCAGTCCTCTGATTATAGGACAGTTCTGTCAGTATGTAGGCTGATGGAAACTGAATTACTTGTGCTTCATCATTAACACCACCAGTTAATGAGTCTCTGGGTCAGGTCCAAATCTGAAGGAAACTGACCTCGTCACACGGTAAACGATCTGAAGCTTTCTTCTCTTCTCCGTATTAAAGAAACAAAAATGAGAAATGGTAGGTTGTCTGAATTCGTGATGAATAGTGCGAAGAGGGCGGCGTTACCACCACCACCCCCCCACCAGCTACCATAGCAACAGCACATGTCAAGGTTGGATATCATGCGCACCGTTACCACGTTCAATGAACTTGTGTGCACTTTAATTCAATTTTCAGATCTTTGGGCAATATCCAGTCAAAGCTTCATTATTTTGCGGCAGTTTAACAGTTACAGTACCATCTCATCCTATCGGGTAAATATTTGCTGAACGGCGTATTTCGATCAAAGCACTTGCTTCAGGAAAAATGTCACTTCAGTGTAACATATGTTTCGTTTTGGGATGGATCGAAAGCGCTAAAAACTCACTGAAGGTTGTTGAAACTTGCCTCGCATTCAACTTCAACTACCCAGATTCCTATAGGCAATATGAATAACCCCGTTTGTTTGTTGTTTAACGCCGAATTCAGAAATATTCCAGCGATTTTCTGTAAACAATCGAGTGTAGACCCGACGATCCAATGATCAACAGCATGCCCATCGACCTACGCATTTGGGATACGATGTGTCAACCGAGTCAGCCAGTCTGACCATGCTCTTACGACAAGCATGGGTTACTGAATTCGTCACGGGTCCACGTACTGTGGACAATCTGTTGTTCAGTGAAAACTATTGTGCTTGTGAGACACGGGTAAGACACGGACAAGACTTTGTTGTGTTGTAGAAGTGTAATGATCAACAGATTACTGTTTGAAGACTAGGGCTGCGCAATATAACCGGTTTACCGGTATTTACCGGTTCAGACATGAAAACGATACGTATTGCGATACGCTGATCGAAAACCGGTATTTTGACATGCAATCGGAAAACTTCGTAACACTCGGAAATCTTCGGACATTTCCGTTTTTAAATTGTTCCTTTCCTTGTTTCATTTGTGACAAACATTATTTACATTTTTATTTTTTCATGATTAAAGTTTTATTAAAGCCTAATCAAGCATTGTGATTTTGTTGTGTTTTTGCTTTATAAATCAAGCATTAACTCGACTATAAGTAGTTTTTTGTTAGAAAAAACCTTCTTGCAATATATTGCAAAACATATCGCAATACATGCTTTCGTATCGCAATATATCGCAATATGAAAATTCCCTGCAATACCCACCCCTATTGGAGACATTACATTTACCACAAATATCCCCTGGGAGTTGAAACTTTTATGCGATTGTTGTGACGAATGGTATAATTTCATGAACATGTGCAACCTACCTTGATGGCGAAGCTTACAACGTCATCGTAGGAGACCCAAAAGGAGCCAAACACAGCATATGGAACGAGAGCTACGTTATCAAACACACGCTGGAAGGAGGTATTGGTGCAGACCTGAAATGTACAAATGTAAAAAATAATAAGCTTGATGTTTATGCTACATATCTGAATTTACATCTACAAACACCTTTGTGTCGAACGCTTGTCTCGAAAAACAAGTTGGTACCATCGTATTTCTTATCCAGTCTTCATTTTGCGGCTATGTCGAACCTCTGATAACTCGATGTATTTGTGCAGGACCCACTTACTTCGACACAACTGTGTCTGATTGCAATTTACACATATCACGACTTTCTAAGCACAAGAATCCCTGCCCAAGAAAACGGGTCGCCTACCTCGAAGTACGCGATGACCCCCGGGGTTTTCACGAAGGTTGTCGCTGGCCCTGGGGTGCCGGGGGATCTGACGCCGTTCTGGGAGGGGTTTGTCAGGGTCCATGTATGCCCGTACGTCGGCATTCCAACAATTAGCTTTGACTTTGGAATCCCAAGTTCTTCGTTGTAGATTCGAAGGGTTTCTGTCTGAAAAAAGCACATAATGGACAATGATTGAGTGAGCTGGCTTAATGTCACTTTGAACAATACGAGTATTTCAATTATATCACAGTGTGTTTGCCTCACGTGGGAGGAGAACCTAGCAATAACTATTTCTGGGGAAAAATATGAATGTCAACTTCAGTAATATGAGGAGTATATGAGGAGTATATTCTAATTCTTGTCTTGTCTTCCTCATATTACAAAAGTTGAGATCCATAAATTTTCCTCTTTCTCAACATCACTTCTAAATGTCATATACATATGTATATACTTTAGAAGCATTACGGACCGTCAGTGCCTCCCTGGGATTCGAACCCAATAGTTTTCTTGCCCTTCATCTGGGCCCTAGTGACAAATACATGCGTGAATATGATTGTATTGTAAACCGATGGACTCTGACATGTATTATATCTGAATATGTCCATGTATATGACAGAAACATTTTTAAGCTGCTCGGTGATTAAAGGTGCCTTCTTGGACGTTTTAATGTGTTTTGCTTATTTGGTGTAACTCCAGCTCAACCACGTCTCAGATTTGAAATCTTGGATGTGTTGTTCGCAGCATAGGCTGGTAGTCATTTACAGAAGACGGGAGCGTGGAGAAATGTAACATTACTGCTACAATAAAGGTGTTTCTTATGTTATATATACACCATTCAGTGTTAGGTATATAGTTTTCTCAGTTGTGGGAAATGACATTGTTACTGCAAAGCAATACAGTTGCAAAGTCGTGTGTACGTAGCAACGTTATCAAGGCCGTGAGTACGTAGCAAAGTAATGAAGGCCGTGAGTACGTACGAAAGTAATGAAGGCCGCGAGTACGTACGAAAGTAATGAAGGCCGTGAGTACGTACCACATTAGTCCAAGTGGTGAGTACGTAGCAAATTAATCAAGGCGGTATGTACGTAGCAATTTAATGAAGGCCCTGAGTACGTAGCAGAGTAATCAAAGTCGTGAGTACGTAGCTAAGTATTGAAGGCCGTGAGTACGTAGCAAAATAGTGAAGGTAGTGAGTACGTAGCAAAGTAATCAAGGCCGTGAGTACGTAGCAAAGTAAACAATGTAGAGAGTACGTACGAAAGTAATTAAGGTTGTGAGTACGTAGCAAAGTAATCAAAGTCGTGAGTTCGTAGCAAAGTAATCAATGTGGAGAGTACGTAACAAAGGAATGAAGGTCATGAGGATGTACCAAAGTAATCAAGGCCGGATGTACGTAGCAAAGTAAACAATGTAGAGAGTACGTAGCAAACTAATGAAGGTTGTGAGTACGTAGCAAAGTAATCAATGTGGAGAGTACGTAGCAAAGTAATGAATACCGTGAGTACGTAGCAAAGTAATCAAAGTCGTGAATACGTAGTAAAGTGAGGAAAGTCGTGAGTGCGTAGCAAAGTAATGAAGGCCGTGAGTACGTACCAAGGTAATTGAGGCCGGATGTAGACAATGTAGAGAGGACGTAGCAAAGTAATGAAAGTCGTGAGTACGTAGCAAAGTAATGAAGGTCGTGAGTACGTAGCAAAGTAAACAATGTAGAGAGGACGTAGCAAAGTAATCAAGGTCGTGAGAACGTACAAAAATAATCAAGGCCGTGAATCGTACCAAATCAATGAGTACGTAGCAAAGGAAACAATGTAGAGAGTACGTAGCAAAGTAAACAAGGCCGTGAATACGTAGCACAGTATACAATGTAGAGAGTACGTAGCAAAGTAATGAAAGTCGTGAGTACGTAGCAAAGTAATGAAAGTCATGAGTACGTAGCAAAGTAATGAAAGTCATGACTACGCAGCAAAGTAAACAATGTAGAGAGTACGTAGCAAAGTAATGATGGCCGTGAGTACGTAGCAAAGTAATCAAGGTCGTGAGTACGTAGCAAAGTAAAGTCGTGAGTACGTAGCAATGTAATGAAGGCCGTGAGTACGTAGCAAAGTAATGAAGACCGTGAGTATGTAGCAAAGTAATGAAGACCGTGAGTACGTAGCAAAGTAACCAAAGTTGTGAGTACGTACCAAAGTAATCAAAGTTGTGAGTATGTACCAAAGTAATCGAAGTCGTGAGTACGTACCAAAGTAAACCGTGTGTTCAGGTCGTCCGCCCGAGAATACAATGGTGCATTGTGGCCGGTTGTAGGATCCCAGGGACCGTTGTAGTCGTAGCCCATGACGTTAACGAAGTCTAAGTACCTGTGAGTACATCCAGGAATCTTTACCTTTATATATGATAATGTCTAAAATAGTCATAAAATGACCGGCAAAATAAAGTTTGATGGTGCCAAAGAATGAAGCCAAAAATAAATGGTTATTCGATAGTCATTTATTTGGCGTTAGGTATCATAGTTTTGTTATGGACGTAAAGTTTGGAGTTTTTAGATGACTGTTTTCAGCCTGTGGAGAAATCGGTACGGAAGCATAGTACTGACTGATATCAATGTAAACAGTCTCGAATTCAGTCTTGTTTCATTATTAGCACATTGGTTCATGCAAAATATCAAAAGAAATGCTTGTGACAAATAAAACATGAAACTTCTCAAGGACGTGAATTGAATATTGTCAGCTTTTTTGTTAAGTGAAGAGCAGGTGGAAAATATTTTAATAATTGACAGATTTCATCATTTTATATTTTTATAACATAAGGACGTTTTATATCCCAGGGGCTTCATCAGGAACTTACAACAACGTCATAAAAAAAGAACATAAGTAGATGTGATTCCGGCCAATTAATATAATGTGGTGACCTTCTGTCAACTATTCGCTTACTTTCCCGTCTCGCCGTTGTAGCCGGCGTAAATGTTTTGGTATCCAGCAGGAACGGCTGCTGACAGCAGGTAGCCGAAAGGTTCAAAGGCAAGTTTCAGCTCCTGAAAGTAGAAGTAGAAATCATATTGTTCATCTTGGGCTGTGTCATGGATGCTAAATGAGGCGAAGTCTTTCAGAGAATGGGCAAATACACGTATATGATCTGGGTTGAGTTGAGTTGGGTTTTACGTCGCATTGGCATTACTTCATTACAGCGACGAGACCAGGTAGGTATTCATACACATGTTAAGGACGAAGGTTAAATGGGATTTGAACTGGGGTCCATTTACTAGCAGTGAGTAGACAACAGAGAACAGGCAGTGTTCGTATGAACGTAAAGAAGTCTCTACCTTATAATTAAGAGCAGGGAATATCCAGCCAGCGATTTATCCCACTCAGCCACTCAACCTTGTGAAAGCCGTGGTGGCTGAGTGGGTTAAATCGCTGACTTTGTGTAGTGGCGATTAGGTGCCTCACTCTGAGAGTGTGGGTTCGAATCTCGGATGGGTACTAGAATCTGTACTTTACTGAAAAGGTGTAACCCCAAATATATCACATGATGCATAAGAGCAAGGTTGATCGAATCACCGGAACGATTGTTAATTTCGTGCTTTTAACCCAACACCCAGGTTTCTTGTTATATGACGGCGGTCTGTATTAGACAAACCAGTGGTTGAAATTGTGAGAGTTATAATATTACGATGTGACACAGTCAACCACTTTTCACAATCCATTCAGACACCTCTCAGACCAGCACAGGCTGCATGGGACCTGTATTAACTAGGATGCCAGTCACTGATTTGGGAAACGATACGCCTAATTGGTACATGTTAATCATACCCGTGAAGATCCGGGTTAGAATTGGTCTTCAGTAACCCAAGCTTGTCGTAAGAGGCGACTAACGGGATCGCGTGGTCAGGCTCGCTGACTTGGTTGACACATGTCATCGGTTCCCAATTGCGCAGATCGATGCTAATGTTGTTGATCACTGGATTGTCTGGTCCAGACTCGATTATTTACAGACCGCCGCCATATAGCTGGAATATTGCTGAGTGCGGCGTAAAACTAAAACTCACTCACTAGTTTGGTATCATCCCCACCTGACAGAGCAACACGAAGTTGTCCTTGTCTTCTGTCGTTCCTCCTCTGGTCCCCGGGTACTCCCAGTCCAGGTCAAGACCGTCCAAACTGTTGCTGGACAGAGTGTCCAGTACGCTGGAAATGAAGGCCGCTCGGTTGGCACTTGTGGTAACCATGGCAGAAAAGGCCGTGGAGCCGAAGTTGAACCCTCCAACGGCTATCATAATCTTCAGCTCATTGTTGGAGCTGCGCAGAGCAGTGAGACCAGATAACCTGCAATACATTTGGAAACAGTCATTATGTCTTCGTATATCTACAAATTAGTGAGTGAGTGAGTTTAGTTTTACGCCGCACTCAGCAATATTCCAGCTATATGGCGGCGGTCTGTAAATAATCGAGTCTGGACCAGACAATCCAGTGATCAACAGCATGAGCATCGATCAACGCAACTGGAATACGATGACATGTGTCAACCAAGTCAGCGAGCCTGACCACCTGATCCCGTTTGTCGCCTCTTACGACAAGCATGGGTTACTGAAGATCAGTTCTAACCCGGATCTTCACGGGTCACATCTACGAAGATTCAGGGGTCAGGTTTAAGGTGAAACAAATCAACCTCATGTTTTTATGTAACCGCCAACGAGATTTCTTTGGAAGATTTGGTTTAATAGAACTATTTTCTCTTCTTATAAATTTTAAAAAACCCAACAAATTAACGAAACTGGATATATCGGCACAATCTAGTCGTGAAATCGTTGGCACCTTGCACTATATGTCCACGACCTGATTCTCTGTGTAGTAAGAAACTGACTGAAATCGTCACTTGGTTTAATTGAGGTGAGATGAAATTGGATTTAACATCTGGAGTATTCTTTATGTTAGCACTTGCATACACTCATGAGCAAGGAAAAAGTGACATGGAATTTTAAGTTGACGTTCCAAATTCTTGCACTTTTGCGTGTGTGAGTGTTAGAACAAACTTATGCCAGTTTTATTTTGTCATAAGATACCCTGTCCAGACAAGTCCGAATTCTGTTCTTTCAATGACTAGCGCCAATGAGTGAGTGAGTGAGTGACTATGGTTTTACGCAGCTTTTAGCAATATTCCAACAATATCACGAGGGGTGGGGTGGGGGTGGGGTGGGGGTGGTGGTGGTGTGGGGGCACCAGAAAGGGCTGCATACACTGTACCCATGTGGGGAATCGAACCCGGGTCTTGGGCGTGACGAGCCAAGTCTTTAACCACTGGCTACCCCACCGCCCCCTACCGAACAATGCAGGGTAAGACCATGTAAACCTTTTAACGTATTTCGGTATGCCAAAGACTGGTGTCGAACTACAGAACGTCCACTTTCCGTCAGGCGCTCTGGACATCTGGACAACAATATGAATGTTTTGACAACGTTTCCGGCAAAATCGAGCACGGACTTTCTCAGAAAATTAAAAATTGTATTTATTCGGGGTTACAACATTCAAAGCCTTAGCCATGGTCTATAGCAGACACATGACCATTTCCAAATTTGACGCACTAATGATCAAAACGATGTCCTATGCAATTGCCTTTTCTTTGCATGTGTTTTTGACGGATGTCGCCGATTGGGCAAGATACGCTCACCTTTTCGGGGCGCACCTGACATAATAACTTTTCAAAGTGTTTCATGAACATATGCGTATGGAATAGTCAGAATATTACCGCCGACCTTTATCGGCCATTTCTATCTACTTGAAAGTAAGGTTCCGTATGATTACAGAGGTTTTGTTAAGGTTTTATCAACAACTTGTATCCATGTCGTGAATTCAAATAACGATCTTCTGCGTGACGAATGCTACCATAGCTACGTAGTCCGTGGACGTTTAATCAGCTCGTTATCATAGGTGTTCTTCTCGAGTGTAACCAAAACATGTCTCTGCAAAAACAAATACTGGTTATTCAAAAGCGCCCAGCTTGGAGTCCAATTAACGTAAAGCTTACAAAGATCCAGTGTTCCATTCATCAGGTCGGAGATCCCAGGTGCCCTCGTTGAACAAGTAGAAGCTGTAGATTATGTGGGTGCAGAGGTCGAGGATCTATGTTCCCAGGGAAGAAGGTGGCCCCGCTTCTGTACTGACTCCAGCTGGTGTAGTAACATACCCGCTTGAAGCTGGTCATACCTGGGGGAGACATGTGACTCATGTTACAGACGCCAGGAACTAGTGATATACACTTACATCATTACGAAATGGGTACCCGGTGGGATAAGTCATATTAACCATCTAGCACCTCAAGGCTGCTTGGGTTATCCGGGGTAATGGTAATCAGATTGATACCGCTATGAGTATTCACCTCGTGAATGGAGTTCAGCGCATTATTAATACACTTATTATTATTATTATGATCATTTACAACAATAATAGTCTGTCATACAGATCCTGAAACAAATATATCCCACACAACCCAAACAAGTTCATAATGTGTAGTAGGTCTACAGTTTCTGCAGTTTCTACAAATCTCAGGGCTCCTTTTATCATATTTTAATGACGATAATTTAGGAACATTTTTTTTCTGAAAAATAATTTTTATTTCAAAGACTAGATTTTATTCTGAACAAACAGTGATTTTCGACTCACCCAACATACAGGCCTGCGATTCGTATGCCATATAAAAACTGAAGGTGTGATAACAACCTTTGTTAATGGTATAGGAAAACATTAAAGATTTACGGAAAGGTTATCAAACGTGTGAAACAAATCAGACTATATAGCAGATTTCATTCAACAATTGTAGGACTGGAACTAAAACTGACATTGTAGCTACACCGTGAAAACGGTTTTTCATTGATTTTTAACATATCGCGTCAAGAAGTACATACAGAGGCGTGTGTACACTTACCATCACACTGCAGGAGAGATGCAAGACCGATGACAGCCAACAGAGTCACCGACGTCCGAGTCCCAAGTCCCCACTGAAAGTCAACGAATAATCACTTCAGTATCCCCGTTACAACTTTAACTCAAAGTCAGGGGACAAACGGTCCCGTAAAAGAAACGAATGACAGTGAAAGACAACAATATCGCCGTTTTCAGTTACTTTCTGTAACAGATGTGTAACCTCGGCCTGAACGATGTATTACGTCATTAAGTCATTTACTATCAATATTTATAAACAACATTAACATTGGAACACAACCACGCCAACATTTCAACAGTTAACAGACATTATGCAGCTAGAGACGGATTTTATCCACATAACATTTCCACATCCTCTTTACCGTTTCAGCACCATAGTGGCAGATATCATACATCAGATGGAAAATAATTATATCGATTTACTAGATCTACATTGAAAGACAACCTCTTCGCCGTCTAAGCACCTCAGTGGCAGATATCATACATCAGATAGAAAATAACTATATCGACATACTAGATCAACATTGAAAGACAGCCTCTTCGCCGTCTAAGCACCTCAGTGGCAGATGCCATACATCAGATAGAAAATAACTATATCGACATAATAGATCTACATTGAAAGACAACCTCTTCGCCGTCTAAGCACCTCAGTAACAGATATTATACAATATACAGGGACATACCAGATCTATATTGAAAGACAACCTCCTCACCGTCGAAACACCAGAATAACATATATTATACACCAAGCAGAATTAACTATACAGACTATTTTGATCCACATTGAAAGACAATCACCTCACGGTTCGAGCACCCGAGTAAAACTATTTATACACCAACCGGAAAGAACTATACTGGCATACTTTGATCCATGTTGAAAGACAAGCTTGCCTATGCACCTTAGTAACACATAGTATACACCAAACAGAGAATAACTATACTCTCCCAAAAAAGAAACGCATCATGAAAATAGCAATTTCATGTAGCAATGAATTAAAACGTGATTCATTTTACAAAAGGTTTTGCTCTGTTTATGAGTCCTATGGTGTTTATGTTTTGAAACATCACAACAAAACGCACCATCCGTAAAATACCTGTATTTAACAACATGATTTTCAATTTCGGCGTGTAGTGTCACAGAATACACAATCTCAATGATGGGTAGAAAAGGTTGATCGCTGTCTGTCGATTATTCACTGTATTTGGAATATTGTTGACGAACGCAAAATGCCACGTCTAAGTGAAGCCAACCGTCATATCGCCATTGGTTTGCTTGAAGCTGGCCAGTCTCAACGTGCATTTGCCCGACGCATGAATGTTCACCAAAGCACCATTTCACGGCTCTGGGAGAGATATCGCCGGCAGAATGCGGTAGCAGATGCCCCTCGTCGTGGGCGACCTCGAGCGACCACTGCGGCGCAGGATCGCTACATCCGGGTTCATCATCTGCGTCATCGAACAGCTACGGCGACCAGTACCGCTCGACAAATACCCGGATTGAGGAGGCTTTCTGCACAGACCGTCAGGAACAGTTGAGAGAGGCTGGTTTACGTGCCAGAAGACCTTATTTTGGCCCTGTGCTTCGACAACAACATCGTCGACATCGAGTTCAATGGTGCACCAACGTTCAGGCCTGGAACCTACCGAATTGGCGTAGAATCTGGTTCAGTGATGAATCACGATTTCTATTGGAACGACGCGATGGAAGAATACGGGTGTACAGACGTCGACGTGAACGTTTCGCCGACGCTTGCGTTCCCCAGGTGGGCAGATTCGGCCGGGACAGTGTTATGATGTGGGGAGAGATCACCTGCCGTAGGAGAAGTGATTTGGTGATGATCCAGATCAACCTGACAGCTCAACGGTACTGTCACCGGACTTACACCCGATCGAACATCTGTGGGATGCCCTGGACAGACGGGTGCGACGCCGTAACCCTCAGCCCCAGACACTTCAGCAACTCGCACAGGCACTACAGGCAGAGTGGGCTGCGATTGGGCAACACGAGATTCTGAGACTTATTCGTTCGATGCCGAGGCGATGCCGTGCAGTTTTGGATGCCCACGGTGGTCACACGAGGTATTGACTTCAGCGCCACCACACGTCTCCATGTGGCACTCAAACTGACTTTCCTCGAGTTGGTGCCAAAGACGGATAAGTCTGCATTCCCAGTGTGCAATTTCGCTATATTTCATTGACTCGTCAAGCCTACAAGATGTTTCAAAATAAACATAACAATACAGTTGAAATTCCTATATGCGTTTCTTCTTTGGGAGAGTATATATCCACATACTTGATCTACATCGAAAGACAACCTCTTCGCCATCTGAGCACCCGACTTACAGAGTGCACACAAAACAGAATTCACTATACATTACTATCTTGATCCACATTGAAAGACAACCACTTCGCCGTTGAAACACCCGAGTAACAGCTATTGTAAAGCAAGCAGAATTTACTATACATACTATCATGATCCACATTGAAAGACAACCACTTCACCGTTTAAGCTCCTTTGTCGTATATATCATACGCCAAACAAGGAATATCTATATCCATATACTAGATCTACATTGAAAGACAACCTCTTCATCGTCGAAACACCCGTCGAAACACCCTATGAAATACACAATGCCATTTTACCCTTGTAACAGCTATTGTACAGCAAGCAGAATTTACTATACATACTATCATGATCCACATTGAAAGACAACCACTTCGCCGTCTAGGTACCGAGTAACAGATATTATACACTAAACAGGGAATAACTATTTCCACATACTAGATCTACATTGGCTGCAAACCACTACATCGTCTAAGCCCCTGAGTAACAGATATACACCGTCGGGATTAACTATACGGATACAATGGCGTCAGATCTCAACTCATCCCATCACAGCAATTCGTATCTTTGTTGCAAGTGAAAGATCAAACAATGGGAGTGGAAAGATGCTAAAACCAGAACACAGTCTGTTGACACAACTGCGAACATATCCTGTCTACACGTACAGTTTGAAGGTCGAGGTCACGGAAGAGGTGAGCTCAGAAAACATCCCAACACCTTCAAGTAATTAAAAGACCCCAGGTGTATATTGGGGGAGTATTTGATCTATGTCCTGCAGCTTCTACACACACAGCATCGTGTCCTGGTATGTTTACCGACCGATTACTATGTATAACACGTTACATTTGGGATTACTGTGCAAGATTTCGGATAAAACAAGACAGTTCGATCCCATTTATGATCCTTTAATGTGTCTATGTAATTATATACATTGCATTTGATATGAACTACTGATTACTCCGACTTGGGACAATTTATAGATGTTTAGGACTGGAAACTTAATGTTTATTGAAGCTATGGTTAGCTCTATATATTTAAGGGTTGTGAACCTTTGTGACCCGTGACTCATTCGATGAAGAAAATAATTATTATGGTTTCTAGTGTCAATTTCAAAGAAGGACTTTAAAGTTGGAAAATCTTAAGAACATTTATAAAACATTATTATCAGTTAGGGGTGATTGTAATTAAATCATACCTTGTTATATAATGCGACATTAAGTCATATGTGAGAACTGGACCAATTGTCAGTTCAGTATGACATTTTGGTCTTGCGACTTTGCTAATTCATTTGTTGCATTGGGTCAGTATGACATTTTGGGTTTGCGCATAATTTCTTCATGTATGATGTGGAAGCTGTTCAGTCAGCCTATTTATATTCGTGTCATGCATGAAATATTTTTATGTCAGTTTTGTCACATGTAAAATGAGATTTTGTCGTAACACGTTTCTCATACGATATTTCATTATATGTGACATTTTGTTATACATAATGTCGGTCATGAATGAAATCTTCTAATAACCAACATTTGGTTATCCCTGACACTCTCATTTATCAAATATTTGATCATTCATGATATTTTTGTTATATCTAAAATTAAGTATTGTAATATCCTTTGTTTGATCAAGCATGACACTTTTTGATATTCAGCATTTGGTACTGCATGCCACATCGTACTATGCAGCATGTAGTCATGCATGATGCTTTCGTATATCCAACAGTTCGATGGAATATATGCCATATTTGTGTTGCGTGGTGGACGCCAGGCTAGTGATCCAGGTGCCGGGATCGAGCCCATCTGTGACTGGGTGTAAAAACCTTGGAGTCAACTTTGTGTGCAGACTCTTTCAGTGTTGTCACAACCCCTAGTGTAGAATACACAACCCTGTGCACGTTAAAGAACCCTCGAATCCGTTGGTATATGACCAGATGGTGGCCACATGAATACGTGCAAACACCTGGTTGCGGGTACAGCAACGTGCAGTAAAACTTGTACAAAGTACTGTGACTATGTGTCATAGTCCACCCTGCTGTGAATGGGTACCTCGTAAGGATGGGAAAGTCACATTAACTCGGTATGTCTAGTGGCTACAAGAGTTATATGATCCCAAAGGAGTTGAAATTGAAAATGCGATGTGCCGTTGAGACTGCCATCCAATGATCGAGGGAAACAAAGCACTTTGAGCATGCATGTTGATGTGATTGACTATAGCGCTATATAAATACCCATATGTAATTTGGTCATGCATGACACTGTCTTACATCTAACATTAGGTAAGGTATACAGCGTGTTTTCATTCATGATACTTTCCAATAGCCAATATTTTGTCATGCATGACGCTATCTCATATGATCATTCATGTCACCTTGTTAATCTCACATTTAATTTAAAGATACGCCATTGTCATATGTCCAAACTTTGGTCACATTTGGTCATGCATAGCACTTGTTCTATCCCACATTAATTAGCCACACAAGCTGCTTTGCTATATTTAATATGTGTTCATGCGTTAAGATTTCTTATATTCAGCGTTTGGTTCTAAATGACGTTTTGTTACATCTACAATTTGTCCTGTATTACATTTTGAATATTTTGTCATGTATAGCATTTACGAAAATTCGTCATACTTAATATTGCGTTACATTTGCGTTATTCATATCTATCACTTCTTTGATCCCAAGATCATACGGTTCATTGATCTATGATGACTGAGCTGTAGAACTGTTTGATCAGAAGATCTCATTGATCACGTATCAGCGCTCACTTCACAACAATATTAGAAGCGTGGCTTAGATCAATATCACCTCTCGTTATGACACTATGTATGACACTCGTTAGTGACACTATGACACTGTTATGCTCGAAGTGCAATGCCTGGCCTGTTGAAGATGAATTTCATTTCCTTCTGTTATTTCCTCATTATAAGACATGCAGAGAACTGTTTGTACCACCATATTATAACAATGTATCCCATGATAAATTTATCTCATTAATATCAACAACATATTCTGTTATTATAAATAAAGAAGATATCAGTGTTTCTCAAAAGAATACATCATGTTAAGTAGTCTTGCATTGTATATCAATATATCTTGCGCACTGTATGGTGATTATTGTGTCTTAGCACTATGGGCAATGAGGCCTCAAATGCAAAAATAAACTTGTTACTTGTCAACTTGTCACTATGTTTGTTAACATGGCAATGCAGTTCAATCATGACCCTATTATACACTGATTTGATAGCTTCAGCAACTCGACAGAAGGTTTTTCTTTTAATTACGATACCTTCAATCACATCTCCTTTCAACTGTTCTTGTCATATGCAGGATAAGAAATGATAATAAAATTAATCCTATGTGATTTTTAGAAAGAACGCGAAAATATCTAGTACATATTTACGAACACAAAATCTCTTCAGTGGACGTATTATCGTTTCCAATGGTCACCGTGCCCGATATACAAATGACTGTAATAATAAATGTTACCATTCAGTCAGTCCTGTTGACATGTAAATACAGATACAAACACAGGGAAGTCGATTACATGGAAAACAACTAAACAACCTACCATGGCTGTGTCGACCGTCTACGCCCAGGTTATTCCGGATACTGGGCTTCTCTACTCTTAGCTACATTTAATTCACCTAGACTTACTATTCATGCTTCGTGTTTGCGCCTAACAATACAGACGAGCCGTAGGTTTGAGGTAAACGGGAACGAGTAATATGGATTATTTCATTCCATTGACGAGGTTTCATTGAATTCATGCTTTCCCAAACATTTCAGACAACCTGGGTCGTTTGTTCCCCACTTATCACCTTTACCTACCCCGATGATGTATCTTTCCAGACAATGTTTATCGTGCCCAACTTCGTTTACTCTCAATGTACTTTCTGCACTGTTTACACAGTAAACATATATCTTTAAGGAAGTGAAGTACTTGTTCACTGTTATGATCAAATATAAACAGAAGAAGTGATTAAGCGACGCTTATTTGCTCACGACTTTACTAATATTTATCAACGATGGGTTTAAAGGGTAGCACAGTCTGAGGGTAAAAGAAGCTTGAGAAACAAAATATGTTCCGCGAGGGGTAGCTTGTTATCTCTATTTATAATGAAACAGTTTCTGCTTAGCTCTGACACCCTTAGTCAACAGCAGTCAGTTGTCTAACATGCTGATGTCATCTATGTTTCTTACATACTGCATGTGTACCCTTACAAGTTGCAGTTTATGTGCAAAAGAAACTCGTGAGAAACAAGTGGTCACAGCATTAGATGTAAAAATGATTTGTAACAATTTTTTCTTGAACCATTTACCTGTAATGTGTCGCCTTGTTTGGCGGGTTCGCCAAGGGCGAGTATGTATAGACCTAGCTTCATAATGTAAGGTGACATTCCTCTTTGTCTTGTCTTTGTTGCAAGAGCTTTGAACTAATTGTTATCATAACCAATCTTTCAATCTAGTTTAATGAGAATACCTCACTGATTAATGACCCTGACAAATGTTACTGATGACTGAGTGAGTTTAGTTTTACGCCGCACTCAGCAATATTCCAGCTATATGGCGGCAGTCTGTAAATAATCGAGTCTGGACCAGACAATCCAGTGATCAACAGCAATTGGGAACCAATGACATGTGTCAACCAAGTCAGCGAGCCTGATCACCCGATCCCGTTAGTCGCCTCTTACGACAAGCATGGGTTACTTAAGATCAATATTCTAACCCGGACCTTCACGGGTATGTACTGTTGAGGCTGTGAGATGTGGAACGTCACATCACTACATGTACCCAAACCTGGTCTTAGATACCACCGATATCAGATGTATGTTTAGTAAATTAATCTCTTCAGCAGTTCTCTGAATAATTATTATTATATGGGTATTTACAGAGCGCTATAGCCCATCCCACATCTCACAGCGCTTCTTTGTTTTTCCCTCGATCAATGTCAGTCTCAGCGGCACATCATATGATCAATCTCAACTCCCCGGGGAGCATACAACTCTTGCTGCCACTAGGCGCACCGAGTTTATGTGACTTTCCTATCCTTTCGATGTACCCATTCAATTGCTAATTATCATAGACGTAAACAGTACTATTCCGCGCTACAAGAGAGGAAATCTTGAACTACATTGTAACATAAATGCGTTTGTCTGGTTGAATTTGTTTTTGTATATAGCTTCTTATTTATTGTGAATAATACTAAAGACATTTCATCCAAAGCCGATGTAAATTTAGAAGTGACTACTAAAGTAATTTTGATCACCGCATCCCTAAACTCACCATGGTGATGCAATTGCACACGAATTATTTTTACCTCATTGCAATGTGGCAATACTTGTGTTCATTAATTAGTCACAAAACCTTACACGTGTGACATTTCTTGGTTCAACGGTTGTTCAGAAATGTAGGGAGATACCTATAATTATTTATGTTCTTATGTAACGTTAGTTACGACAAAAAAACAGGTAGATACATATTGAGATACATATACTGTATGATCAACAAGTGATGTTCCTTTATATTACGTCTATTGAATACGCCTCAAATACGCCTCAAAATAGCATACAAATCATATAGGTTGGTAAAGCGCAAATTAAATATAGTTGAATTCATGAAAGTGATGAATATCTCCTGTTACGCAGGTTAACACCAAGGTCGGTGACCCAGAAGCCATGAAGGTCAAGGTCATGTCAACAAGAATTCAAGGCCAATTGTTGTTTTCATTAGGGATAGTACAGAAATGTCTGCCCTTTTCTCACTCAGAAAAGAAAACATTGCTGTAACAGAGGCTAATATAAACAGGGTTGACATGCATGTGTATCGACTTACGAAAGCCTACGTGTCTTCAACACAATACTTCAGTGGACCTAGTCCTGTGGTACTGCCTGTCATTAAATCAGCTGTTTGAACAGCAGTTTCACAGCCATACATGTATGCTCATATATTCCCTTTACTGTAGATGTACTCCTAGTTTCTTGATGACGTCCAAACACGTGAAGATCCGGGTTAGAATCTTTTTTCAGCAACCCATGCTTTCGTAAGAGGCGACTAGCGCCGCCATATAGCTCGAATAATGCAGTTAACCGTCCAAAATGTCGGCGTACAAACAAAAAGAAACATCAAGCCTCCCACGTTGCTGTACATGGACATTGCAACAAATACACTACGTCTTGGAAATTTGGGTACATGTTGTATTGTTCAAATTATGTCTTTCTAAGTTTTGAAATCACGTCAATATAGCAGTTTTAGCTAAGTCAGCTTCACAGGGCTCGTGTTCAGGAGGCAATGTTATAATTATACTTCCCATCAAAAGTTTAGACTCACTTAAAACACTCATTATATGTTATCTATATATATATGGTTACATCGAAGATTGATTTCTCAACTAACTTGGGGAAACCAACTGCAAACCTTATGCAGATGAATTCCACGAGGATCATGCATCAAATTGCTGAAAAGCATGTGCAAATATCGTACATGTGAACATCTGAGTTTTGGTGTAAAGTTTTGTTAAGATTTCGCTAATTTTCACTGATTTTTAGCATTCATTGAACCCATGACAATAATCCTTTCAATGTTACGAATTTGTTTTACAATACATCAGTTCATGTGTAAACAGTGCCCTTAAACAGTATGGAATATTTTGCAAAATTTAGTTCAGAACAGTTGCCTGAAGTAAGTGGCTATAGTGACACTTGTGAGTCTAAATTTTGTATGGGACGTGTATGAAATGAAACGCTGTATGCCCTGGAAGGTAAACAATACTGTCTAGTCATTTTTGTGTTATTCATCAACGTGGAACACAGTAAAGGTATGTCTTTATATCTTACATTTCTTAAATGTATCATGGATGATACTGAGAATATACAAACAACAGAGGGAAATATTTGACAGTTAATACAAAGGAGATTAAATGCTGCTTTTCATATTTTAAACGTCAAACATAAGTTCCATATGTTCATTTGAAACGAAAATGTGCTTACTGTCTCAGACTACACTTACACCATCACATAACGAATTAAAGCTATGTCAGCAAAATTAATAGTCTCTGCCAAAACAAATGCCAACTGATTTGAAATAATAAATGTCTACAAATTGTTGAAGAATGTGGATTATGATCATTGCTGAATATGGTCGGCGAGGTAGCATGGTGAAAGCGTTCGCTCGTCACGTTGAAGGCCCGGGTTCGATTTCAAACGTGGGTACAATGTATGAAGCCCATTTCTGGTGTCCCCCGCCGTGATATTGCTGGAATATTGCTAATCCCAGCTTACTCACTCATCATGGAAGTGTCTCCCATTCACGTCTTTGTGGCTACACATGTAAGTTAAATAGCTCCAGAGTAGTATCCAGATTGATCAGGATTCATCCATGCTCTTGACATTAAAACAATGATGGATTACGCCGCCTCGAGTAACATAAACATAACGTGAAACACTGACATTCTGTTTTTTGGAATGTCTGAACACGACAATTGTTCGATACATATTGCTGGAGACATATAATGATATAACATGTATGTAGGTCAGAATGAAAAATGAGGAATATTGAGTGACATTCTTGTACAATCTGATCATGTACAATCTAATTGAGTGAGTGAGTATAGTTTTACGCCGCTTTTAGCAATATTTCAGCAACATCACGACGGGGGACACCAGAAATGAGCTTCACACATTGTACCCTTGTGCGGAATGGAACCCGGGTCTTAGGCGTGACGAGCCAACGCTTTAACCACAAGGCTACACCATCACCCCGTACAATCTAAGATGTAACTGACACTGTAGTGTATGGACAATATCAAAGTCCATAAAACAAATGGATATCGATCAGTTGGTATGCGTCCTTTAAATATGCATCCAGTCATTGAATTTTATGCACATCCGTGAAATATACATCTCGTTATTGAGATATGTGTACCTCCTTGAACTGATATACGTGATCATCCGTGAAATACACATCTCGTTATTGAGATATGTGTACCTCCTTGAACTGATATACGTGATCATCCGTGAAATACACATCTCGTTATTGAGATATGTGTACCTCCTTGAACTGATATACGTGATCATCCGTGAAATACACATCTCGTTATTGAGATATGTGTACCTCTTTGAACTGATATACGTGATCATCCGTGAAATACACATCTCGTTATTGAGATATGTGTACCTCCTTAAACTGATATACGTGATCATCCTTAAAATATACATCTCGTTATTGAGATATGTGTACCTCCTTGAACTGATATACGTGATCATCCTTGAAATACACATCTCGTTATTGAGATATGTGTACCTCCTTGAACTGATATACGTGATCATCCTTGAAATATACATCTCGTTATTGAGATATGTGTACCTCCTTGAACTGATATACGTGATCATCCTTGAAATATACATCTCGTTATTGAGATATGTGTACCTCCTTGAACTGATATACGTGATCATCCTTGAAATACACATCTCGTTATTGAGATATGTGTACCTCCTTGAACTGATATACGTGATCATCCGTGAAATACACATCTCGTTATTGAGATATGTGAACCTCCTTGAACTGATATACGTGATCATCCATGAAATATACATCTCGTT